TACAAAAACAATTGAAATTGAAGAAATGGTTATGGGTTACTTGTTGACATGCTAGCTTTGAAGTTTCGTTTCCTTCGAAGCTATCCTCTCAATCGACCTAGATAAACAACTATTGAAGTCAAAAGTGGCGAGAGGAACAATTTAAGAGGGGGAAGACGGAAGATATAAAAGAGGGAAAGAAGAGGAGAGAAAATTGAAGATAGAATGTCATGAAGAGGCAGAAAAAGAATGGAGACATGAGAATGACTTATGGAATGGAGAGAGACGAATGAAAAATGAGAAATAGCGTGAAGAGAAACTGAGAACTTGGGACCGGGATTAGTATTCTGAACTTCTAACATTTATTAAAGGAACCCCATATATTGTGCAAAAGACATTACTACCCGTAATGTTTTGAAAGCTTTTCAATGGGGGACAACCTTTAACAAGTTTTAGAATTTTCAAAATACTAACTATACCCTAAAATTTTTCCAAACTGCAATGGGTGCAACTTCCCCAACTATAAATCTGCCCTTTTATGTGGTTAACAAATCATACTATATTTGCCTATGTCAGAATGTCGACGATGATAATAAAAAACGATACAATAGCTTGTGATTTAGCGGTCCTTAGACATAGCACAATAGAGGAAGAAGTTTCATATAGTCGATCCGTAATGTTAAAACTTTGTTGTTAAGGTGAGTTTTTTTTTTTTTTGGGGGATAAGTATTGAGTTGAGTCGAGTTAATGAGTTTGTAATTGTTCAATTGTTGAAATGGTTCCAATGGTGTATAATGTATATATTCCTTAAAAAGGAAATGACGTCTCTTTCCATAATGAATAAAATATGAAAACAACTAAGAAAGTTGGAGTTGCATTGAGATTCAGCTAAAAATTTGCATTAATGCTTTATGTGTTTCATCAACTAAATAAATTAGTTAATATTATTGAAGTGCGGAGAGAAGGTAGACCAGAAAGAAAATGATCATCTATGAAGCATAGATTCTTCATTGAGGTCGACGTATTTGCATGTAATACTTTATCAAATACGATATTTGTCCGATACACACCCTATATATCCGATATACACCATACTTATCCGGTAATAGTAAAATACTTGTGTATTTTGTTGATATGAATTAACGATGCATATGCTTTAGACATGAAAGTGCATAGAAGAGCAATATGTATGATTTTTATTTTAGACTTTACCTTATCCTCTAGTGTTCATAATTTCATATATAATGCAACACATAAAGATAAACTCTTATGACTATGAAGACACGTGGGTGTTTTTTAAGTATTATTTTCTATCACATATTAAAAGAGTCTTAAATGTGTTAATTACGCTATATATCTTTTCAACTCAATTTAATTCAACAAAGCCTTCTCCTAATATTTTTGGGATTGGTTATGTGAATCCTGTTTAGCCCTTGAGCCATGTTTTCAGTTAAACCATAAGTTATTATATATTTTTTTATTATTTCATTTAAAGTTAGTTTTTGTCTTGTTCTACCTCTACGTTTACCATTACTAGGTATTATATCACTCTTTCTTATCGGTGCCATAGTAAACCGTCTATAAATATCTCCAAACCATCCAAGTTGATTCTCCCTTAAGTTATCTCCAATTAAGTATCAAAATTTCGTTTTTAAACGTTTGCTTTTCTAAGGAGACCTAAACGAATTAGTAATGAAATCAAAATTTTAATATTTCAAGGTATTTCATAATGTTTTGAAATATTTTGTAATATTTCAATGCATTTGCACAATTATTTTTGCTTGTTTCAAGGTATTTCAAGATATTTAGACATATTTCGACCAATGTTTTGAAAAAATAGTTCTTAATTTTTTTTTAATTTTTTTTTTCATTATGTTTCTGAAACGGATCGAAACACTTCCGAATTACATTGAAACGTTTATGTTTCATAGATGAGCGAAACAATACACCAAAATAAAATTTTGATCTTTGTCTCCTATGTGCTATCTCCATTTTTTCACAGATATTTTCGTCAATTACACTCTATATCTTGGCAACAAGAATTTCTAAGGGAAACAACTAATTCGAACTTGGTTCTAATTTCTTTAATCAGTCAAGTTTGCTATATGAATATACTATAACGTGACGATCAATATTCTTCCAAAGTAAAATTACTAATGTTTTGAAGTTTTTAAAGAATTTATTAGAAAAAAAAATTAAATACATCCTATCGTAGACGTATCCTCGTTGTATTTGTATCTTAATTTTTCAGCTTTTTTTGTATTGTTGTATCCCTATCTTACAGTACTAGTACTCCATAAACTGTCTCCTGTCTCATTGTCTATGTCCATACTTCCTAGATTACCACACACCCATATTGGCTTAAAGCTTTTCTAACAGTATAAGTTGAAGAATAAAATGGCAAAAAACAAAAAAGGACAATCTGTTTGAGAACAATTTGATACATTTATGTAATCACTTTGCACCAATAAAATGCTCTGCTTTGCATTTCCTTGATCGCTGATCATGTTACTGTTTTCATCCTTGGACCCCCTCTAGATGATTCCAGGCATAAATAAATGCTGGCTCATAATATCCAAATATGCTCAGTGTGTCTGTATTTTCTTCAAGATCAACAATAAAGTGGCCTTAGTTAAGTGAAATATGAATAACTATCTAAAAGTTTTCTGCTTTATTGGAACTTCTATAGAAGCTGTTTTGAGGTGGAATATGTTAAGTTTGTAATTTGAGGGTGCGAGAAAGAATTTGCATAATTTGATTCTTGGATTGTGCCTTTTTGAAAACTAGTTGAATCTTTAAATATGATTTAAAGGGAGGGAAGGAAGGTGACAAAATTCTTAATCGCATCTTTGGATTGTTTGATTCTGCATCCTTTAAGAACTAGTCAAAAACCAGCCGACGAGGTTTACCTCGGATCTTGTGCTCTGGGAATAATTAGAAAAGGTGTCTAAAAGAGGAAGCATAGGTTCGCCTTCACGTGACATCACTATGAATCTTCTTTTTGTTAATGGTTGAAGTAAACCTTTCTTCTAGTAACATTTTATTTTTTGATTATATATGATCATTTCTAGTTGTGTATAATCTTTGAGCTTTTTTCTGCTGCTATAGTTCTTAAACCCTGGTTGCATATTCAATCTCTGATTCTTGTGTCCCTTTGAGATTTGATAGTCTAAGTTTCTCTGTAGTCCAATGGATTTTTTGTCTGAAGAGGTGCCTAAACTATATTTCCCTATATGTGTTCCTTCCAGATCAATAAAAGAGGGGACACAGTGGATGAGAAGATCAAAAAGCTTGAAGCTGAACTTGCTCGATATAAAGAACAGATCAAGAAAACTAGACCAGGACCAGCTCAAGAAGCAGTCAAAGCTCGAGCCATGCGGGTTCTCAAGCAAAAAAGAATGTAGGTTATCTTCTTGGTGTCATCGCCTCTTTATGCAGATGTATTAAGTGGTCAGGTTCATATAACCTACTACGTACTTTCGGAATATACAGTAGAACCTCTTGATACCAATATTATTAATGGACTAGTTAACATGTGCATCCTGGTATTACTTTAATCTATTCAAATTGTATCATGATGTATGTATAGACGTGTCTTTGCTTTGAGATTGTTGTCTACTTGTTGAGAGGACTAGATGGTGCACTCAATCTATTGAACTCTTGTATACTGCGCTTGTCTCTTGTTTGTGCTCCCTTGGTGTTACTATTTGATCTAGTTATCTCTTCTCTTCGAAAAGAAACTAAAGTTCACGTGGCTTCTTGTTTGATGGAAACTTTATTTCCTAGTGTTCAGAGTATTTTTATAATATTTTTAGGGTTTACACTTATTGTAATATGTATATCTCACAGGGGGTATAGTTGTCTTTAGTACGTTTGTTTAGTAACTATAAATACAAGTTGATAGTGAGAGGTAGGGTAAGTTAAGCTTTTCTTTGCCTCTCTCATATTTTATTAAGCCTGTCTTTATTCTAAACTTAACATGGTATCAGAGCAATTAGGTCCAAGTTTAATCTGGCATTAATCATCCTTTTTCTTTTCTTCTTTCTTTTTTCTTTTCTTTTTCTGTTCCGTTTTGCCCGTGAGGTCTCTGTCTTGACCATCGTGCTTCCCATGATTGGTTTTGTTGATGCCGATGGTGTAGTGGTTTGTGATTGTGGTGGTTGTGTGGTTGAGTTTTGGTGATTGAGTGGTGGTGGTCATGTCGATTGTCGTTGGAGGCTTCGTGGCTTTGGTGGTCATCGAAGTAATTGGTGAAGTGCGTATCTGTCCTTCCCGTTGCCGGCAATGTATATTGTCATCGTGTAGTTGTTTGTGATTTGCGTGGGTTGTGGTATTGTGGTTGCCGAAAGTAGTCAAGGGTAGTGGGTCACTGTCGTAGTTTGGTTGTGGTCAACGGAGTATTTCAATGGTGTTGGTGTGAGGCGTCGTTGAAGTTAAGGTTTCATTGACACCCTCATTGTGGAGAAGACGACTCATTCTATTGGGGCGGCTCGGATAGTCCACGGGTGGGGGCTTAAATAATCCAGCAAGCCCAACAAGCCCAACACGCCTCTGTTGGGCCTAGTTTAGGTCAGGCCCAAGAAGGGTTGGTCCACTGCTCCTTGAGCTTAACCCTCCTAGGACAATTCAGCTCCTTTCAGACCGGTTCAGTCTAGGTTCATCTCATTCTAGACTGGTTCAAGTTTGGTTTAGATCCTTCTAAGCTCGGTTCAGGTCTAGTCAGTCTAGTTTCGGTTTAGTCATCCCGATTTAGGCCTTTTCCCACTATTTGCAGTTCGGTTCAGGCTCCTTTTGGTTTGGTTCAACACCTATTTAGCTGTTTAAGCTCTCCTCAGCAATTTTTCGATCGGTTCCGGCCTGGTTTAGTAGTTACTTAGTCTGGTTTACCTTGATTTTTTGTGTTTTTCGACTAGTTCCAAGGCTCCTCCGTGTCCAGATCCTCCTTCACCTAGTTCTGCCTTATTTCAGTGACATTCCTTATATTTATTTGATTTATTCTTTTCATTTTCTGTGGTATTCCTATGGAACCCAAGAATGATAATCAGTTCGTTGTTACTACACCTGTGCCATCACCCTTTTCTCCTACGATGTTCCCTAATGGTCCAATGACTTGTGTTAAGCTCAATGAGACTAATTATGTATTATGGTCACGATCGGTCCAAGTGTTTCTCAAAGGCACAACCTTTGAGAAATATTTAGTTGACACTAAACCCAAGGAAGACACTATTGGGTATGATCAGTGGGAAGATGAAGATGCTCAGATTATTTCATTAGTATTGAATAACATGGAGGTCAGTATTAGTTCTATTTTGCTTTATCTTGACACGGTCAAAGAAATTTGGGATCACTTGGCCTCTATATATTTTGCCATAGGTAATTTTAGTCGTGCATATGAGATGTACAAACAGTATTTTCACCTGGACTAGAGTACTTTGGGTCTCAAGGATTATTATTCTCACGTTTGGGGAGTTTGTGAGAAATTAAAGTTTTACCACCCGTTCACTACTAATGCACAACATGAAGATTTGAATGTTGTTCGTTTTTTGATGGGTTTGAAACCTAAATATGAACTTATTCACTCTCAGATTTTGGGTGGTTCCAGTCTACCAGTTCTCCCGTTTATAGTGTGCTACTTTGTCTACCGGCTCTTCAGGCATTGATCGTGGTTTGTCCATTGACAACTCAGCACTTGTTGTTTCTACTGGCCACAATGATAGTACTCAAGGTGGTCGTGACAATTGCGGTGGTCTGGGAAGCTGTACTGGAGGTCAAATTGGTTCTCGTTTATGACTCATTGTGGTTGTAGAGGCCATACTGTTGATTATTGTTGAGATTTACATGACAAGCCTTCGGGCAATTAGGAGGACACTGCCTCCCTATCTGTTTCTATACCTTTGTCGGTTCCATTTGACTTTGGGTCCGTTACTCTTACACGAGAAGAGTATGCTTAGTTCCTGTCTCAATAGCATGTTGTTTCATCTTCCTCTATTGCTATTTTTGCCCAGTCAAGGTATCACTTCAACTTGTTTATTGTCCTCCAATCGCAATCCTTGGAATATATACTCCGGCGCTTCTAACCACATGACTGGTTTGTCTTTTTTACTTATCAGTCCATTACTTTCCCATATAGTGCTACTCTTGCTAATGATACTTCTTTTAAAGTTTCAGGTTTTTGGAGATTACTCAAATTGAGTACTGATATGTCTTTATAATCTGTTTTATTTATTTCTCAATTTCGCTTTAGCTTACTTTCCATTAGCAAGATTATCCGCTCTCTTAATTGTTTAGTAACTTTTTATCCCTCTTATTATGTGTTTCGGGATCTACAGACGAAGATGAAGATTGGTATGGGGCATGAAGATGGTGGTCTCTATTACTTTAACCCTAATCCACTTCCTTAGGCTTGCCTCGTCATCTCATTTTCAGTGGCACAGTCATCTTGGTCATCATTCTCTCTAGAATTTGAATCGTTAAGTTCCTAACCCTAGTTATGGGTTGTCTATGTCATATGAAATTTGTCAACTCAGTAAGCATCACCGTGTGTTCTTTCAGTTTAAAGTCAATAACCACGTGTTGAGTCTATTTGAATTAGTTCATTATGATGTATGAGATCCAATAAAAAATATTTTATTTAATAAATTTTCTTATTATGTGTTATTTGTGGATGATTATTCTTGCGTGACTTGGTTATTTCTTATGAAAGCTCGTTCTAAATTATTTTCTATATTTGAGACATTTCATAAAGAAGTAAAAGCCTAATATGGTTGTCGTATTTGTATTTTACGTTTGATAATGTTTGAACATACGAATCTGATCCTGTTTTGTCTTCTCTTCTTAAAACTAGCATTAATCATCAAACTTCCTGCGCCTATACCTCTCAGTACCTCTCAGCAGAATGGTGTTGCTAAGCATATGAACTGACATATGTTGGAAGTTACCTGCACATTGTTCTTCTAGATACATGTTCCTTGTTGATTTTGGAGTGATGCTGTTCTTACTACTTGTTACCTTATTAATCGTATGCTGTCTTATGTGTTAAATGGACAAAATTCATATTCTGTTATTGTACCCAATACTCCCTTATTCTCCCTAACCCCTAAAGTTTTTGGGTGTCTCTGTTATATGCATAACTTTGGGCCTAGGTTCGATAAACTTGGCATTCGCGCTACCAAATGTGTCTTTCTTGGATATTCTCTCACACAGAAGGGGTATCGTTACCTTAGTCTCACCCTTTGTCAATACTTCACTAGTGTTGATGTCACCTTTTATGAATCTGATCAACCTTTGGATCTTGACTTTGGGCCATCCACTCCATCACTACCGTTTCCCTTACCGTCGGATACTCCGTTGCCTCTTGTGTTATCATCTACTTCTTTGCTCCGTGTATACTCACGTTGTGAGCGATCATCAACTTAGGTACCCTTGTCGTCTTCCTTACTTTCTCTTGATCCTAGTTCCTTAGGTACTTTCGATTCTTTACCTATTACTCTTCGGAAAGGTATTAGATCGTGTGTTACTAAACATTCCATCACTAATTTTGTTTTTTATGATGTCTTGTCTCTTATTTTTTCTTGTTTTATTTCTCAATTTTCTACTATCTCTGTTTTTAAGACCTTATTGGCTATGTTGTCTGATTCGGGTTGGAGAAAAGCTATGGAAGAGGAGATGGATGCCTTACATCATAATGGAACTTGGGATCTTATTCCCTTACTGCCTGGTAAATGGACTGTTAGTTGTCGATAAGTGTATACTGTTAAATTTAATCTGAATGGTTCTGTTGAGCATCTCAAAGTCTTTCTTGTTGCCAAGGGCTTCACTCAAATCTATGGTGTTGATTAAGGAGACTTTTTCTCTTGTTGCAAATATCTTAATTTATGTGACTGCTAATCTTGGTTGGCCCTTTGTTTCAATTAGATGTTAAAAAGACTTTCTTACATGGTGACTTGGTTGAGGAGGTCTACATGGAGCACCCAACTGTGTTTATTGCTCGGGGTGAGTGTTGTAAAAATGTGTGCTAGCTAAAGAAATTTTTGTATGGTTTGAAGGAGTTACCAAGGGCGTGGTTTGAAAAGTTTTTAGATGTAGTATTAAAGTTTGGTTTTCTTCAATGTTAGATAGACAATTGTGTGTTTCACAGACACTACTCTATTGGTTATTTATGTTGATGATATTGAAATTACCCGTAATGATTCTAAGGGTATTACCAAGTTAAAAGCATTCCTACAAGATAGATTTCATACTAAGGATCTAGAAAAATGCAAGTACTTATTGGGAATTGAAATTGCCAGATCTAAGCAGGGTATTTGTTTGTCTTAGAGGAAATATGTATTCGATATGCTAGAAGAAGCAGGTTTGCTGGGGGCAGACCAATTGATGTCCCAATGGATTCGAATCAGAAGTTGATGGATGATGGTGCATTGTTTGAGAATCCATGCCGGTACCGCAAGTTGGTTGGAAAGCTTAATTATCTCACTATTATTCGACTAGATATTGCCTACGCAGTCAGTGCGATAAATCAGTTTATGAGATACCCTAAAATACCACATTGGGATGCAGTCATTTGTATTCTTCGATATCTCAAATGTGCTCCATTTATTGGGTGGTTATATCGAGCTAATAGATATCTTAAAGTGGAAGGTTTTTCAGATGCTGATTGGGTTTGTTTTCTCTCTAATCGAAAATCAACTACTGGTTATTGTACTTTCTTGGAAGGTAACGTTATTTCATGGAAAAGTAAGAAACAAACAGTGGTAGCATGATCCAGAGCTGATGCCGAATATAAGCCATTTCACATACAATTAGTGAGTTGACATGATTATTACACTTCGTTCAGGAAATTGGTTTTCCGGTTCAACTTCCTTTACAGTTGTTATGTGATAATTAGACAGCTTTTCTGTCATTTTATTTGAGGCAAGATACTAAATGGAGATATTACAATTTCATTTGTGAGATCTGAGGCTCAACCAATAGACATTTCACCAAAGCATTAAGTCGAACTCGTTTTACAGCTATTTGTTCAAAACTTGAATTATACGATATATAGAGTCCAGCTTGAGGGGATTGTTGAGAGTATTACTATAATATTATTAGGGTTTACACTTATTGTAATATGTACCTCACAAAGGGTATACTTGTTTTTAGTACGTTTGTTCAACAACTATAAATACAAGTTGATAGTGAGAGGTAGTGTAAGTTAAGCCTTTCTTTGCTTCTCTTATAGTGTGTTAAGTCTGTCTCTATTCTAAACTTAACACCTAGTATCAATATTAAGGCCAATCACGTTAGCTATAGCAAATCATTGCCATTCCATTGGAGATGGGGGATGTGATGTTATATCTAAGTCCCATTAAAATCAACAAAATATTGATGTTAGTTTGCGGCAGTGACTGACACTTTTGTGCCAAAACATTCTTACTTTAGCTTCGTGCTTCTAGGATGATAACCTTCTAGAATGATCCTTAGTTCCCCTTGGACCAAAATAATCCAAAAATTGGGTACACTTTTCAATTGCTTTTGCCTGACAGTTGCAAAAATGCTTATAAAATGATCTTTTGTGATGTGTATCATGTGGAATTCATAAAGTCATTGCACAAGCTATGGATGGCACGTGGTATATCTTATGATGTTTGAAGACATTCGAACTTCCTAGTACACATCGAAAGAAACAAATTAATGCATGCCACCCCAAAAAAGGAAAAATACCTATTACTCATGAAATCCTATTGGGATTGGCGATATATGATTTGCAGCAAAAAACTATTCTTCTTTTTCTTTCTGCACACCTTATTTATCTCGTTTTCGAGAAAGTGGTTAGGGATTATTGATTAATCCATTTCTTATTTGAGAAAAGGTGATGCTTCAGGCTTTGATGTATAGGTCACTTGAAAATAAATTGTGGGATAGATCATGGGTATTTGTTTTCCTCAAGTATCAGATCATTTTTTTTTCAAGATGGAAATAGATTCTGTTGTCTCGATATATCATTCTACAAGTAATATTTAGTTAATGATAGATAATGTTCCAAAGTGTGTAAATTTGTAAGTTAGGGCTTTGATAACGATGTATTCTTGAAATATGATAGTCCATTTCTTTCCTTCAAAATAAGGTCGGGACAAAACTTAATAAATAATTATATTTGCATCCTTTTGGTTCTCATACTCTAGGTTAATTTGACTTACGTTTCCATTTGGGATGGATGATCTATTTAATCCTTAAATTAAAAGGATGTTGATGTCATAGTTTTTTAATACTCTTAATGCCAAACAGAACTCACTAAGGTAAAATGGTTGAAACTATATTTAAAGAGGAACTAAGTGGGATAGTCTTATATGAGAATTGAAAGTAATTTGTTGAAATGTCCTTCCCTTTCTTATAGGAGGCATCTGGGACATGCATCCTATACCCATGCTTCTACCTGGTTCACGTGACATGGGGCTTCATGTAGTGTTGATTGATTGAGGGGCAAAGGTTTTGTTTAAAAGAAATTAAATAATGAAGCATTTAATACCTTAATTGTTTCGATAGATAAGAAAAGGAGGAAAAGGGTGGTATGAAATGTAAAAACTTATTTCTTGTAATGTAATATCACATGTATGAGTTCATTTTTTTAATGCATCAGGTTTACGAATCTCATATACATCACATGCCTTTAGATATCTCACAAGTTAAGGTGGTTTTTATAGTCGGGCGTCTTTTAACATGGGGACATAATAATTGGCATTTGATCAATGGGGACAAAATAATTGAAATTTGATATGAAATCTAGGAAGCACAGATACGAACATAGGTGTCTTATCCGATATGATACAGACACCGTGATACGGCAAAGTTGAAAAGTACAAGACACGGGTATGGCTAGAATATGACTAATTAAAATAATATTGTATATTTTTTAGATAAGAATAAAATTATAATGTATTAAAAATAAAACATATTTTATAAAATTATGAATAATAAGACTTAGCAACTATTAATTTTGTTGATTAAAATTGAAATATATCAAAATAGACATCCATCATTTTCGTCAAACATCATTACATTCATTAACATTCAGTTTATAAGTTACATTAAAAAAAAAAAAAAGAAATCACATCCCTCTTAATAGTTAAAAAAAAAAAATTGTGTCCATATCCTGGCCTGGCCTTGCCTGTACTTTAGCCGTATTTTGGCCGTGTCCGACTAAGCTCACTATTAAGGACACTTCTAGTTGTATTGGACATGTGTTCAATGCGGCCGGGAAGTATCCTTGCTTTCTAGATCTGAGCTAGGTGGAAAGAATTTGTTTCTTACATAAGAGTTTAGAAAGAAACTGGAAGGGTTTCAATTTCTTTTTTGGATATATTTTCTCTAAACTTTAAGGTACCTTCATAAAAGGGTACAATAAATTAATTAGTTGAAAAATAATTTAAATCAGGCTGCTTGAAAATTGAAATGTTGCAACAATTGTACGCTGGTTGTATTGGGAAGCATTTTGTTGAGTTCCTTACATGTATTGGCAATGACATGTTATATATCTCAAGGTTGGCTAATGTTTCACTTGTAACATTTTGTCACGTAAGCACCATAATCAAGATAGTGGAAACATCTAGATGTAGTTTTTTTAGATCTGACTTGATAGGTACTTCAGGGAATCTAACAACCCGTTGCTGAATATGAACTTGCTAAATAAATGTGTAGATGTAATGTTGCTATCATATACAAATCTTATCGAAGTTGAAAGTTGAATTTTTTAGACATTGTGCACTGTCTGCATATTATATAGTCATCGTTACTCTTTTGGAACACAAGAAATATACTTCTATATTTCCTCATTGTGCACATGAATCATTATATGGAAATCACCTACCAACTAGTTGAAGTAAAATAGGTTACACAGGATTTATTTCATATTCGGACACCCTGATTGCAAAATTAGGCTCAATTATATTATTAGGGCACCCTATTTGGTTCAATGGATTTTTTTTATTGCCATCAAATATGTTTTTAGTTGCAGTTTGAATTGGATTTTGCATAGCACGCCAAAATATAACAGTTGCCTGATTTGTATTGTTATTTCCTATGATGTACATCCAACCCATTAAGTTTTTGGGCAGGTATGAAGGACAGCGCGATATGCTATACAACCAGACGTTCAACCTGGACCAAGTTGCATTTGCTGCTGAGGGGATTAAAGATGCTCAACAAACAGTATGTCCCAAGGAGCTTCAATTGTATTATCCTTTTTGATAATGACTGCTATGAAGTATTACTATACATGACTCGTGCTGTTTATCCATGTTTTGGGCTTCTTTAACCAAGAATTATGAGGTTGGATACGCCAAGGAATAAAAAATTATGCAGTATGGTGGCCTTATCAATTGTAAAATCTCTGTTATTTATGAGTGAGCATGGGCTTTTTATATCATGAAATCTAAAATATATGTAATCGTAGTATGTGAGTGGAGTACTAAATGAAAGGGAAGACATTGAATAATCTTGATGTTTATTTGCTCCTGAATTCTACCTAGAACCTGTTTACATTAGTTTGTGACAAAAAGTGTTTAACTTTATGGGCCTCATAGGTAATGAGCAAAGACATGAATAATTCTGATTAATGGATCTTAATGGTCTATCCACTTGTATTCTAAGATGCCACGACATCAGCCCTCCTGATTAATTATGATGTGCACCATAGCAATGCTGGATCCAGTATGGTTATTTTGGGGTTACACTGTATTCACTGTAAAATCTTTTTTTTTCTTGGTAGCACCCCACGGGGCAAAGTTCAAGGCTTGTAAGGCGGAGCTTATTCTGTAACCTGTTTGGAACATGCTGCCTACCTCATGAGAGGTAGGGCACAACCCATTTGTCTGTAGGAATGGATTTTTTAAACTGTGGTGTTGATTTGTGTGCTAGATTTTCTCATCAGTATCTGTTTTAACTCATAAGGAGATTGGTGCCCTGAAGGAATTTTTTGGCATTCAAATACAATCATTTATGACTTGGTGTGCCAAGAGACTAAATTTGTTGCATTCTGTCCAGATGTCAGCTTTGAAGTCAGCAAACAAAGAATTGAAAGGAATGATGAAGACCGTGAAAATTGACGATGTAGATGTTAGTATATTGTTGATATTTTCTTCCTCTTTTCTGGTGACCATAATTGTAAAAATTTACTAGTACCGACAACTAATGATTTTAATTTACAGAGCTTGCAAGATGAGATGATGGACCTGATGGATGTGAGCAACGAAATTCAAGAGTCACTTGGTAGAAGCTACAGTGTACCTGATGACATTGATGAGGAAGAACTCATGGGTGGTAAGTTTAGACGTCATATGTAAACTTTAGATATATATTTTTTATTTTTTTATTTTTTTATTTTTATCCGCATGTAAACTTTGGTATTGAAGAAAGAACTTTACTGGAGGGATTGTTACTTGAATGCAAGGATCAAAATGTCGTGTCGACACGTCCGAAACGTTTTGGAATTTCAACACTCCGAAACGAAACAGCAGTTGAATCACAAAATTCCAGTGTTTCGGTCGAAACGGCACTGTTTCGGACCTTTTCGATCGAAAGAGTACCGTTTCGACGAAACAGTGATATATTTGGTTCACTATGAATAATTATATTTAATATCCCACTATAATTACATTTAATATCTACTGTAATTACATTTAATACCTACTATAATTATATTTAATACCCCACTATAATTACATTTAATTCCCACTGCTCTTCTGCCTTTTATAATTTTTTTGTTATAAGAATAAATAATTACACTTAATACCCTATTGCAATTATATTTAATACCCCACTGCTGTGCAAGAATTTTGCTTTTTTTTTTGGTTATAAGTATTAACAATTACATTTAATACCCTAATATAATTATATTTAATACCCACTGTAATTACATTTAATGCCCACTGCAATTACATTTAATTTTTAATATACATAAGTACCATTAATTTAATTTGATACACTTCATTATTAGTATTATAATAAAATAGTATTATTATTTGGATAATATTACCGTAATAATATGAGTTGGAATAACTATTGTCATCATATTTATGTCACATATGGAGTTTCTCTAAGTAGCTACCAAGAGCCTACACCGATGTATGAGCTTGCTCGACACTCCACAGGGGGATGGATGTAGCCATATAAGTATGTACTCATTAGCAGTTCATGTGTATTATAAGACCTTAATATTATGTAAAAATGTGTTTATTTCATAAAAATTAAGTGTTTGAAACTAATTTAAGTGATTTTCGCCTCATGTCAAGCCTTTTTTCCCCTTAAATTTAAATTTATTCTTGTATAAATGGATATTAACCCAATATATATGTTGAATTAATCAATTATTTAGCTTATTTTTATAAATTAATGGATTGTATTTGTGTTTCTATGCGTTTTCATTGCGTTTCCGAAACGTTTTCATTTTTTAGCCGATCGAAACGGTACTTCGAAACGAAATTTCGATCCTTACTTGAATGAAAGTAAAAAATTTCTAATTTGACTTGATGCTTTTCGTGAGCTTAAAAGTTATGGGCCTATATAGTTTTACTTTAAACAAGGACGTTTTAAGTGTCTGAAACAAAATAACTTCACAAAATAAAAATAAACATATTGTAAGAGTTTTCTCTTCTGACTAGTGGGAGTACCTCTTGGAATCCTTTTATTTTTTTTTTTTTTTTTTTTTTTTTTTGGGGTTATGTGAGGAAATAATTACTTGGTAATTTTATATAACTCGCACACCCTTGGAGAGTGGAGTGGTTGGAGACTCGAACTCCCACTCAACTATGTGTTGGGATATTCTGAGTGGTCCCAAATTCCCAATGCCGTGGGCCATCACAGGTCTTTCTCTATTAGAATCCTATTCAATTTAGTTATATGCATGGAGAGAGCTATATCTGTCATGTAAGTTGTCCTCCATAGCTGGTTGTTTATAGAAAGTGTCTGCAAAAGAATTGGAGGATTCATGGTAAAAAAAAGGTTTTTAAAGCTGTGTTTCATTTATCTTCTTGTGATTTTTTGATGCAGAGCTTGATGCTTTGGAAGCGGACATGGGGATGGAGACTGAAGGTGATGGGGTACCTGCGTATCTTCAACCTGATAAAGAACCTGATCTAGAAGCAGAACTCAACATGCCTTCAGCACCAACAGGGCATGGAGCAGTTCCAGCTGGAAGAGCCAACACCCAGGTAAAATGTCATTCACCTGTTATCCGGGATCTTTTCCTTACATGATAGGAGTGATATGATGGAAATCTTTTTCTTTTCTTAGAAATGGTCTTCTGCTTTAATAAACAGATACCATCTATTTCATCAATAATGTACTGCTGCTAGTTTTGCATTCATGCATTGGTTGTATCCCTTTTCCCCCTTGTTTAAGTGGCGTTCTGCATTATATTCTGTTGGAACTTGGAATGACATTTTTATAGGTTTGCAATTGTGTTCTACATCTGTGCATTTTTCTTTCCACTGTTTGTGGTTTGGTTGGAGATTTGAGAAGGCCATTTCGTATTATGCTCTGTTGAAAATTGGAATAATATATGCAGTTTCACATTTGTGTTCTGTACTGTATGTGGGCACTTATTGTGTCGATGTGTGTTTTGATTCTGCCAATTCATGCTTCACAGGCTGAGGATGAACTGGGTTTACCTGCTGCCCCTCATGCATCCCTTCGTGGTTAGAAACGGAGTTGGCTGGGGCAAGATACTATCTGCGTTTCTCACTGGTCTGTCAAACATTTTGGAGGGATCAGATTGGCTTGTACCACTATATACCTATTGTCCAGAAATCGTCTTTGATTGCCATAGTGGTCTTTTGTTTGGTTATTTCAAATGATGAACCATATTTCATGATAAAGGACCTCAGTGAATCCTATATATGAAAAAAAAATAAGGGTGCAGCAGGAAATTACTAGTTTATGTGGAGATACACGAGGCAAAGCTGCAAATATTGATTTCCATGCTGTTGTCGATTATTTTGTGAATATCCAAATTGCATTGTTGTATGTGATGTAATCTATGGTATGATAGCTGGTGAGTTTGCCCAACACTTCACACAGTCGTGAGCCGACCCCAAACAGTTGGAACAAAGGCTTTTTTGATCGATCAAAGCTATTTACGATAGATCCCAATCAACAATGCTATAAATATTTTGGTTGAAATTTACCATTATTTGCCGTGAGGAAAAACACCACTTGGGATGACCTTACAATGATTTTTGGGGAAGTTAATGTAGGTTGAAGGTGGGGAGATCGGATAATAATTTTGTTGTAAATATATTGTATATAGATATGAATGAGTTCTCGCCTACAAATTTAATAGGTGTAAGTATTTGACTCTATTACTTTATTCATAGTTAATATTGTATTGGATGACCATTATGATTTGAGGTTTATAAAAACAGGTTTTCACCGTATTGAGAAGTACACTAGTTGAGAAGGTCATTCTCTAGCACATGTATATTCTTTATATTATCTTTATAAATCTATATAATTCTCCTGCTTTCACACCACGTTATCTCTCGTTCATTCTCTCATAAAAAAGAGATTCAGTTTCAAGTCATACAAAATTAAAAATTTGAGTTTTTGCGGTAGATGGTAAGTATTACTACTATAATCAATGTTATATTTGTTTAGTATTCATTTCTTATATCTATTTTGATTGTAGTTTTACTATCATTGGCGCAATATTTTAATTTTATGAACCAAGTGTTTTTTTTATTAACTAATTATTCACTTATGCTACATTGGATATTTTATGTTTACAGGTTTAGATTATTACTTATATCATTTTTTCTTTCAATTCTAAATAAGTTTTTTTTTTTTATCATATTTAGATCATGTCGAGCTTAACAAAACTTGAGATTATTACTCTTGATATTTTGGGCAACAATTATCTTTTTTGGATCCTTGAGACTGAGATTCACTTGACAGGTATGAATCTTGGTGATACTATCAAAAAAGGAAAAATCGCATCCCCATAGGATCGCGCAAAGACAATGATATTTATTCGTCATTACCTTCTTGATGGATTGAAAAACGAATATCTCACGGAAAATGATTCACTTGTCTTTTGGGATAAATTAAAGGAATGGTATAACCACCAAAAGACCGTTATACTTCGAAACGCTCGACATGAATGGATGCATATGAGATTGCAAGATTTTCAAAAGATGAGCGTTTATAATTCATTACTATTTAAAATCAGCCCACAATTGACTCTGTGGACAAACAATTATTGATAAAGACATGTTAGAGAAAACATTCTTTACTTTTCATGCCTCCAATGTGCTCCTGCAGTAGTAATATAGAGAGCGCAGGTTCATTAAGTACTCTGACCTGATATTACTTTTTTTTGTGGCCGAACAAAATAACGAGTTTTGTATGAAAAATCATGAATCTTGCTCGATTGGTTCTAAAACATTCCTTGAAGCGAATGCCACCTTATACCATGGTCATGGTAAGAAACGTGGTCGTGGTCGAAACGACAATCGACACTGTAGTCATAATAATGCACCTCACCACCAGAAGTGGGTAAACAAAGATGCAAATCAACATAAAAGGAAGAGTTTATTGAATAAACCGGGCAATAATTATGAAGAAATTTTCCATAGGTGTGGTATGAAAAGGACATTGGTCACGTACCTGTCGTACGCCTAAGTATTTAGTGGACCTTTACCAGACATCCATAAAGGAAAAAGAAAAGAAGATAGAAACAAATTTCATTTATCACTGTCAACCAGTGGATCTTACTTGCTTTGATGTTCCCTGTCCAATTGACATAATTCACCTTGATGTTTCTAATTTCTTTGTCGATCCTAATGACAAAATTGATCATTTGATCGGTGATGGGAATGTGCACATTGATTAGTCTTAGTTTTCTTATCATATTATCTTTTTAAGATGTTAAACATGATTTCTTTCTTTTTTTTCCCAATGTTTTATTTCAATTTAAGCTTATTGTGACTTTGTTTTTATGAATGAAAATAAATGGATCTTATTTACCAAATGTTCAATTTTGAAATGAATGGTAAAAATGTATGTCTAGTAGACAGTGATACAACCCATACAATACTTTAACATAAAAGATTTTTCTCCAAATTAAAATCAGGTTCTGCAAACTTGATTGAAGGCTCCGGAAGAGCTATTATCATGTTACCAAATGGAACAAAAATCCATATCAACAAAGTTTTATATTCGATCAGATCCAAAAGAAATATACTAAGTTTCAAAGATATACGTCGTAATAGATTTCATATTGAGACTATGAATGATAATAATGGAGAATTTCTTTATATTACTTCAATTGTTTCTGGGCTGAAGCTTATATTAGAGAAACTTCCCACTTTTTCCTCTGGGTTGTACTGTACAACCATAAGAACATTTGAAGTAAACAATGTAATGAGCCAGAAACTTTCTAATCCAAAGACTTTTGTACTTTGACATGATTGACTTGATCACCCTAGGTCAATAATGATGCATTGAATCATCAATAACTCACATGGACATCCTTTGAGAATCAAAAGATTTTTTTGTCAAGTGATTACACATCTCATGCTTGTTCATAAGGAAAATTGGTTATTAGACCATCTCCCACAAAAGTTAATATTGAATCCCCAACTTTTCTAAAAAGAATTTAAGGAGAAATTTGTGGACCTATACACCCATCATGTGGACCATTTCAATATTTTATGGTCTTAATTGATGCTTCAACATGATGGTAACATGTTTCTTTATTATCTATTCGGGATGTTGATTTTGCTTGTTTTCTTACCCAAATAATCTGATTATGAGCACAATTCTCAAATTAGCCAATTAAGACAATTCGTCTTGATAATGCTGTTGAATTTACATCTCAAACATTTGATGACTACTGCATGTCTGTTAGGATTGATGTGGAGCACCCAGTTGCTCACATCCATACCCAAAATGGTTTAGCCGAGTCTCTCATCAAAAGACTTCAGTTGATTGCTCGACCCTTACTTATGCGAATAAAGTTACCAATTTCTACTTGGGGACATGTAATATTACATGCAACAACTTTAGTTCGTATTCGACCAATTGCTTACCACCACCAATACTCTCCAATACAACTCGTACTTGGTCAACCCCTAGATATTTCTCATTTACAAACATTTGGTTGTGCTATATATGTCCCAATTGCACCCCCACAATGCACTAAGGTGGATCCACAACGTCAACTAGGAATTTATGTTGGGTATGATTCACCTTTGACAGGAGATGTTTTTACTGCAAGATTTGTAGATTGTCATTTTGATTAGACAGTATTCCCGCTGTTAGGAGGAGGAAATATGTTGCTTGCTAAAGAATGGCGTGAACTTTTTTGGACTTCAAAAACTATGTCTCATCTTGATCTACACACTCCTTAATGTGAAACTGAAGTACAAATGATTATTCACCTCTAAAGAATTGCTAATCAGTTGCCTGATGGATTTACTGATACTGCAAGAGTAGCCAATTCTTATGTGCCAGCTATGAACACTCTGACAAAGATTGATATTCTAATTGAAAATTTTATGGCAACAAATGAATCATAAACTACACACTTGAAGCGTGAACGACCCATGGGTTCAAAAGATTCTATTTCTCGGAAGAGAAGAGTAAAATGAAAACACATATAACTCTTGAAAAAGTTGTTGAATTAGGGAATAAAGATAAACCACATCATCTTAAATGACATCCCCTGAAGAGAAAAAAAATTCCTGAAGTGACATAGACTCCTGAAGATATGCAAATATTTGCCAATGAAGAGACTGTTATTAACTATGCATGTACATGGGAGATGTGAGATCGCATAAAAATAAGCATCAGTGATATTATCTTTTACAGTAGCTACTAAAATCTTGAATGATGATGATCTCGAACCACGCACAATAGATGAATGTCAACATCAACATGATTGACCAAACTGGCAAAAAGCAATCCAAGCAGAATTGGATTCTTTTGCAGAGCGTGGAGTGTTTGAACTTGTAGTCCTAACACCTAATGATGTAAAATCTGTTGGTTATAAATGGGTTTTTGTGAGAAAAATGAATGACAAAAATGAGATCACAAGATACAAAGCACGCGTAGTAGCGCAAGGGTTCCTACAGAAACCTGGGATTGATTATGAAAAAACATATTCACCAGTAATTGATGCAATTATATTTTGGTTTTATTAGTCTAACAGTCTCAGAAGGACTCAACATGCATCTTATGGACGTTGTTACTACATATTTATATGAAAAGTTAGATACTAGTATTTATATGAAAGTCCTTGAAGGATTGCAATTGCTTGAAGCAAACATATAAAAACCACACAATATGTACTCAATTAAGCTGAGACGATCCTTATGCGAATTGAAACAATCTAGAAGAATGTGGTATAATAGTCTCAGTGAGTACTTGGTAAAGGAAGGGTATGTTAACAATCCTATATGCCCCAATATATGTTGATGATATGAATCTGATTCGAATTCCTGAAGAGTTGATAAAGGCTGGTGAATATTTGAAAAAGGAATTTGAGATGAAAGATCTTGGAAAAAAAAAAGTATGTCTCGGCCTACAAATCGGGCATACATTAAGCGGAATTCTTATTCATCAAACAACTTATACTGAAAAGGTCCTGAATTGGTTTAACATGGATAAATCATATCCGTTAAGCACTCCAATGGTTGTTCAATCTCTTGATGTCAATAAGGACCATTTTCGTCCTAAGAAGAAAAATGAAATGCTTCTTGGTCCTGAAGTATCATACCTAAGTGAATTTGATGGTTTGCTATACTTAGCACAATGTACTAGGCCTGATATAGCATTTGCAGTCAACTTGTTGGCAAAATTTAGTTCTGCACCAACTCGACGACATTGAAATGGTGTAAAACATGTTTTACGCTATCTTCGTGGAACTGCAGATTTGAGTTTGTTAAATTCAAAGCAATCAACCAATGGTCTATAATTAGTCGGATATGCAGATTTTAGATACATATCAGATCCCCACAAGGCTATTCACAAACTAGGTATGTTTTCACATGGGGTGACACAACAATCTCATGGTGATTTACGAGGTAGAATCTGATTGCTACATCTTCCAATC